TCAGGTTTGTGTCTTGCCCAAGAACACAACACGATGATCCAGCCTGGACTCGAACCCAAGCCCCTCGATCCGGAGTCCAGCTAAGTAACCACTGGTCAAATGCGTCTTACATGAAGAGGCTTCTGCGGAGTATGATCACAACCTACAGATATTATGTCAGGCCTTTCCGGGAAGTGGTTGCACTCACCCTTTGAAGAAGAATGATTTGATTTATACTACACACCTATATTGTCCAGAATTGTGTCCAAAATTGAGTTTTTTTTTCGTTTGGCTTATTTGCCGTTTATAATAATTCAGCATTTACACCATGAGAAAGCGTGTAATACATGCTCATCTTGTAATACGCGCATCGATACCTCTCCTCCTTTTTTACGCACTTCCTGAAACTTTTGTAATGAGCACAGGTTCTTCACAATAGATAAAAGATCTGAAAACAAAAAAATGGAACAACGATCAAATGAAGGAATTTTTTACATTTATAAATCCTGCAATTCACTAAATAAACCATCTAGGTGATGTTAGACTATTTGTTCTTTAAATAGCAGAGAAATTAACTTTCGAGTTTCCAGATGGGATTCTATGGTGAGCAAGGGTCAACTCGATTTTTTAAATTGTTTATTTCATTTCTACATGAAATTAACTTTGTCATATAAAATGTTCAAAATTATAGCAATCTGAATTACATTTGCTTTAACAAAGTACTGTACTTTGTTTAAGAAATTAATTAAGTTTTGTATCAAGTTCTACAGATGTATATTCAGCTCACCTAAATCAAGTGTTGGTTTAAAGAAAGGCGTCTGTCCTTGAACATTGAGGCGATGAAAAAGGTAGAACATCTAGTAGAAACAGAAGGTCTAAGTTTACAACAAGAGGCAACATTCTCCAAACAGTCTGTGTCACTTAGTTAGCAGTAACTTTTTTAACTACAGTTTCAACTCCCAGGGTAGATGACGTCGTGGTCTTCATTGGGTTGTACCACATTCCTTAATCATGGGAGGTTCCTTTAAAATCTTTACAATTCCAGAAACAAAAAAATAACAATGGAAAAGGTAAGAAGGCGCTTTTCAAAAGAGGATTGTGACGCAAAAACCAGGGTAATCACAACTACTAATGACTAGAATAGAATTTGTGACAAGTATTACAGGGAACTCAATTTAGAAACATTGTATACTGCTGCCTCAAGCGCGGGAAAACAAGGATGACTAGGTCACGCTTTTGAATCTGATTGGTTAAGCTCACGATGTCACGAGTGTTCTCGTCCACTTACATAGCAAAGAAAGGCAAAGCTTATGCAATTCCAGATCACTTTCGACCCTCAATTGAGAACTGAAGGCTCTTAGTTTAGTATTACCTTTTGCAGCATGACAACAGACAGGTAGCCAGTAGATTCTACAAACGAACGGCATGTGATTAAAAATGAGAAGAAAGCTATCTTGAAGGATTTTAAAAAATTCAGCCTCTTAACTACGAACGCGATTAAGGGGGAATAAAACTTCAAGAGGAATAATTAAATAAAGTTTTCAGCGTCGTTTCGCTTCTTCATTCATTTTACTCACAGGAGTGCAGAGAATGTATATTTAAATTCTAAGGGTGAAAGGGTAAAGGGATTCTTGCCTGACTCCAAACCGTAGTAAAACGTTGCCTTTCATGGATATATAAATCACAGGAAGTAAAATGCGATTTGCGCTTCTAGAAAACATTTAGCATGAGTTTCGCGAATTTTTCTCATCGTAAAACATCCTTGTGAGCATTCTCAGTATATTCTTGCCCTCTTTGTCCAGGTCAACTATTTCAAAACTTACATCTGATTTGAAGGCCGTTTTCCTCGTCACTAAGGCTACAGAAACTGCTACCCTTTTTATAACGAATGACACAAAAATTCTTGTAATCTCATAGAGAGAGTGAACTTCCTACCTCCAGTGTTACCGTCTAATCCTGTCGTATTCGAGGTGAAAACTTCCAAAGTATGCTGCACATAAGAGCATGAAAATCTAATAAATAAAATACATCATTTCTTAAGTTGAGAAGCGTCGCAGAAAAGGCATAAGATGGTGCTATTTTGTTTTGCCATTGTCATCCGTCTTCAAACAGAAATTTTTTCCTGTTTAAGATTTTTTGAAAACCGAGGGTTTCTTTTATGCGCCTTGAGGCTTTAAGCGGCGGAGCCATGGAAACGAGTGGCGAACCCGCGAGAGTTTTAGGACGGTTTTTTCCACTCGCAGCGAGGCCTTTCATCGTTTTTTAAGTGTACGTAAAACCGATAGCTACGCAGGCTTTATGCCTCGAACTCCATTGGCGATATCCACCGAAAGAGGAGCTTTGCTGGGATACTCTCAGATCAGACTGTACTAGGCAAATTGTTATTCTGTTAAAAGGTGTTTAAACCAAAGCAGAGGCTTATATTCCCTGTACCTCAGAAAAAAGTACATCCAACGCCTTGTGCAGATTGGAATGTGTTCACAGAGCGAATTGAAAGAGGAACAAATCTAAAGAACAAAAGAAAAAGAGATGAAAAGGTGGTATTTGAGAGAAGACATTTTTACAACAAAACGAATAAAATTTAATTCACTTTTAAAATATATTTAAAATAACGAAACCTCACATTTGGTACAACACAAATCAGGGAGAACCTCTTTGTACAACACACAAACTGTCATCCAAACAAAAACGCTCCTTCGATCACTGTTACTCTCACTTCTAGTTTTTTATTTTTTTCTAACCCCTACCCAGGGTGCCTTTCGAACGGATTTTCAGTTCTTCTGTTTCAAAAAGTGGAAAAGAAAAGGAATTAGAAACAATTTTGATACAAAACTGCGCACAACGCAGTTCAAGAAGAAAAGAAATTTTTGTTGTTTAAAGTGGATGCCGCATGAGTTCTGAGGTTGAAGCATAAAATTGAGAAATACTTGCTAACCGTTGTGATCTCGGGTGCGTTCCTTCCAACACAATGTGTAACTCCTTGAAGAAGGACTGGAGGTGAAGTCTTTTGGTTTGTACACAAATAAGACAAAAACACAGCTAAACCATGTGTTTCTTCAATCGTTGCCGACGAACCCTGTGATTGGATATTATGAAAGCCACGAGAGTATCATTTTCAATTGATAAAGTCAAAAATATCCAGAATAGCATTCAACTGAGTCACGAGAGCAACAATTATTGTCCACTGAGTTTCGTGAAACCAGAACCACTACATTCAAACCTTACGACCGAAAAAAGGATACATTTCTAAAGGAGGAAATCGACTGAAAGCGAGAACAGGCAAACAGCATAAAGAGCGGGAAAAAGCGGGTGACCAATACGTGGTTGGTTCTAGTTATGCATTCGATTGGTCAAGAATAGACCAATCACAGAAAGAAGTAAAGCAACACTAATGGCATCCGGAATAACTATAAACACTCAGGTGAAAGTTGCTCCATTATTTCAATTGTAAAAGTGGCAAATATTTAACTTCAAGTAGCATTTATGTCATTCACTGCCATAAGAAACTTCAAAGTTCTATTTCCAATGTAATGAAATGAGAAATAATTTTTTTAAAGTCAGGCATACACTGAAACACGAAATTCCGGACAGACGTCGAACGTTCGAAGCCCAACTACCTAGCTACTGCCCATGATAAGGGAATTTCAGACCAGTTTATCTATTCAATATCTAGCAGTATTGACTAACCTCGTGGCAACATTTCCTCCATAACTGACCATAAAGGTTATTGTGAAGCGGTGTTATTGATGTAAACATTGCTACAAAGTGAGAGGCCCAGTTATACCTGTATACACACCAAAGGCAACCTGTCATTCAGTATCAAAGGTACAGTAACATCAAATTGCAATATAACATAAACAATTACAATCGTAAATAGAACAAGAAGGAAGGTTACTTTTGAGCTCTGTAATGAAATCGAGAAAGGTGTTTCAGAATCCGTCTTCTTACAAGCGTAGGTCTGTGTCCTCATAGGGACTCGAATATCATCAGAAAAGTATAGAGTGGCATAGGAGCTAGCAACATGCCATAAAGCAGCACCGTATCAAACGACAACTATCGTAAATTGTTTTCAGTCAATTAATCCGCTTAAGTTATCAGGGAATTTCTGAATCCGCGACTGATTTTTCCACTAGATTTTCAGTTTGTCTGAGCAATGAACTGCTCTGTGAAATTTCAAATTTTCCTTTATTAAGAACTTGCTAAAAGTGGGTAAACTGGGAAGGATTTTAACTTTGTAAGAGAGTAACCGTGATAAGAAATAATGCGTAACACTTTTGAACGAGAGGAACCGAACTAAATTCAAAGTAATTCATTTTGTATCTGATTGGTCGAAACTTCGACGCGAGTCTTTAAGTTTAGACCAATCACTGAAGGCAGTGATGGAAAATCATAGACTCTCGGGGCCGGTTATTTATGCGAAGTCTACGCCAAACCACGGCTTTACGCAATTAGTGGGCCTCATGTTTTCTCTATGAGAGGGTTGATTGAATTAAATAAATGTCCCCCTATTGTCAAGCTTTCGGCCCTCTTGATACTGTGCACAAAAATAAAAGTTAAGATAAAAGATTCAGCTAAATTAGGGATTGTTTAAAACGCGGTTTCGTTCAACAACGGCTTAACTTTGCTTAAATAATCATACGTCAGTCTCTAAGGGCAACGCACGGTTTACCTCTTACATGGATCCAACGATTCCGATCCGTGATTGTTTACAGCAGAGCATGTTTGGCAAAATGGATCCAGCAAAGTATCAACAACCTTTAAAGCAAAACCAAGACATAAAAAAATAAACAAGTCTTTAAATTGCAATGCCAGTGCATTAAAGTTCACTATTGCAACAGATACCATTCACGAGGTTTTCACCTCCACCATTTCAGAGTGCTACAAAAAACTAAAACTAACTACGAGAAATAGCACTTTTACATCATTGATAACATGATTACATGACTGTATTGTAATATTAATTTTATACCAACCGGATCAGCACTAGTTACTTCTGATTTGCTGACATCTAGCTCGACAAGCTGATTGAGTGACTGTGTTTCTTTTCTTAAATCAATCATTGAGTGTAACGTTCCCAAGATGATTGACAACTGAGACGAAATTCCCCCTGTAAAACAAACAACGAGTGAAACATGCCTTAAGAACATTTTACAGTATAAAACAGCTAGAGGACAAACTGAATCAGGAAACCTCTAAAGCCGAATATTTCAAAACATTATCCTCACTAGCTAAAATTTAACTTTTTGCGAATTATAGTTACCAAAAAATCGTTATGTAAACATCTGTATTACGGTATAGAAGATCACCTGAGTGTCTGGATACATTGGTTCCTTTCAATGACTCAGTGACGAGCTTGGTAAATTTCTCTAAAGATTTCACAAGTTTTTCCATGCCACTTAAAGTTCCTTCGTCTTCTGACGAACTCACTGGAAAATAAAACACAGCCACACAAATAAAATCAGAACAGTACAAAAATCACTTAAAAGTCACATGGCCCTTTTCGAAGTTGATTCGAGAGAGCTGTAAGTAATGCAACTGGTAAAGGCTGGTGATGTGCTAACCACATTCAAATTGAAGGAAAATTTGTTACAATAAGTTACGTCACTTGTCACTTTACGTAGATTCCTTATTTGGTCATAAATAAATCAGTTGAGATCTACAGAGTTTGCAGCATACATACTTTCCCAAACTTAAACAAAAATAAAAACTGATATTAAATAAAAAAGGAGTAAAGATCTAATAACACACTGACACAGCTGAAACAATTAGACCTGGAACTATTAATAATTCCCACCCTAATCGCTACTAAAAATAATGATATCTGAACATCACAGAGGCAATAGAACAGTAGAACCTCTCCTTTAGCCTATCCATTAGGCGACATCTTGATACATGGGTATCAAACACTGGTTTGAACTTAACCAAAAAAAATATCATCCCATCATCTCTGTATCCAATGTCCAAATTAACATGGACTGTTTATGGAGATGTTAATATCAAAATGGCAAAGATACAGAAATCATGAGGTTATTCCTTAAAGCATTGAAACTGTTTGGGAGACAATTGTGAGACTTTTGAGACAATAAACAGTGCTTTTTCTTATAAATTATTACCTCTGATTATTGCCCTCCCCCAGAGAACACTTATTACATGAAGGATAATGCACAGATGGGCCTCATACCTTCAATCTGTTCAATGGTGATCTTCTCACAGGCTGACTGATAGGCACTCAGCATATTCTTTGGGATTTTACCAGCTCTATTTAAAAGAAAGGCAAGTAATTACTACATGTTCATACAATCATAGTTGTAGCTCTTAAGATTACTGAACAACAACTGTAAGAACAGGAAATAAAAAGAAGGGAAACATTTCTGTTCTAGTGGTGTTTATTTAAATGGTTACCTGCTTAATACTTCAATGAGCTGAGCTCTTCCATCTGGTTCCTCAGGAAGCTACAAATTACAAAAGAAAAATCTAGCTTCTTCACACATCTGCCCAATGGGCTATTAGCTAAACAATGGCTTGCATTTGAACTTCAGACATCAAATATACAGCTTTAATGCTCTGAAGCCCCATGACAGTTACATTTGTCTAGTTTCTATTTCCCTTCCCGTTTGCAAAATAGAACATTAATGCTTTACAAACCTTTCTTGGAGTTAGCAGTGCTGGCAAAAATCTTCCAATGAAATAAGGTTTTCTAAAAATGCTAGGTAGGCAAAAAAAAAAATTTCTCCCAAGTGTTAGGAAACTACTGCAGTTAGTGTTTTATGCAGAAAGCACATGCCTGCTTTGTGTATCTAAAGAATCTGGTATGAGTGTTTCAAGTTAATGATTTGCAATTCATTCTTACGAATCTTCTTCATCCTTTGAGAACCACAATGAGAGCTACTGGTTTTACCATTACTTGTGTAATCCAATAAAATTAATATTTAGTTATTTGTCCTTGGCCATATTTATTAATGACTCTCTTAAATAAATAAATAAATAAATATGTTAATTGAAGCTCCCCCATAGGGAATTTTCAGCCACAATGTAGACTAACTAAGTGCTTGAAAATCCCCACCGGCAGGAGGCAGACTAGTGGGCTATTTACAGAGCACAACCAAGGAGTTGAACTACGAGCAACCAAGAACAAATCCAGTGAGTGGCAGGGTGGTGGACTTGAACCCAGGCCACCGGATTACAAGTCCAGCACCCTAACCACTCGGCCACGACTCCTCCTCCTCTCTTGTGATTTTCTATCAGACTAATATTAAAAGTAATATTTTGCTTTAAGGTAAGTAGTTTTACAAGCCATAAACATAAGTCAAAAACAATGTGAAGCAGCTTTCTCAGACAAAAGCAAAACATTACCTTGCCTCCATAACAGAACTCGGTACTTTCCCAGACTTCTCAAATGACTCGATAACTTTTTCAACATCTGAGGAAGCTTGTTCAAGTTGCTGTAAAAAGACATTTAACATTTAACAATTTAACATTTAACAATTTAACATTTGAAAAAATACCTTACCCTTAATAACGTCACTACAGTTAAAATCCTCCACTCTCACAAACTGGTAAATACATTTAATCCCAATAGCTTTGTACTAAAGTTTTATTTCTCCTTTACAGCCAGTATGAATTTTGGTTAGGTCACGCAATGCTAGTAGAGCTGGGTTGTGTAATTAAACTAAACAATGGCTTCAGAGATGGTTTCATAAATCTGTGACAGGCTCAGACTGAAGTAAAAGAAATTGCAGGCCCTTGCAATGGGAGTCAAACTTGCAGAGGTATGGCACTCCAATAGATACTTCAAATGCTTTCACACTGCATTATAGGAGATGCATGGGTTAGGTATGGGTTTGGTATGGTACTCTAATAGATACTTCACATGCTTTGACACTGCATTATAGGAGATGCATGGTTGCTATGCCATTTAAATAAGATTCATAAATATCCTACATACTACAAGCAGAGAAGGAAATGCAGATTAAGATTGGCATCATTATCATCAGTATAATTATCATAATGATTGTTATTATTATTTAACCTTCGTATGTTCACTTTTCACTTCTGTTCCTGGTGTTTCTGTTCTATTCCCATACATCCCCATTAGTTCTACAGGCTCCTATCAAAAGCAATCAATTTACAATAATGTGGCAAGATATACTAGAAAAACTGGAATTTCAATTAGACTCTGCAGACAGGTTTGAAAATTATCATTGCCTATAATCTGTACCTTTAAGTCCATGAGTCTGGTCTTGGCCAGAGACACATAGTCAGTGACAAGTTCACGCAGCTTTGCTGGTACTTGAGGAGCTTTGATAATATGAACCTGAAATTATCAATATGTAAAAATACCAAATTACCATTCAAAAGGAGTTTTAGAAAGCTTCTTTGTCTCATGAGGTAATGA